GGTCCAGCTTAAAGGTCCACCAAGCCATTGAATGACAGAGCTAATAGCACAGAGTTGACCATTGGAGTGTCAGAAAGGAACAGCAGCTGGCTCACATTGCACCTGCCCTCTCCTGTGCCAGTAATGATGCTAGCCTACCCAGCGTCTGCACGCATATGCAAGGAAGCTTTATATTCCCTCCTCCACACACCTGCTGTGACTTCCCTTTAGCCTATCACATCCATGGTGCTCTATCCTCAATCACTACATTAGCCCTCGGTAACCAGGGGCTCCACATGTGCAGGGTCAACTAAGCTGGGATATGTATAGATATATATACATACATACACACACACACATATATGTACATATTTTAAATTGCATGTGAACTGAACATTCCTTGATCATTATTCTCTAAACACAATGGTGTATCCACTGAGTTAGCATTGATATTGTACTAGGCAGTACAAATGACCTGGAGATGATTTATTGTATACAGAAAAACATGATCAGGCACTAGCAAACACGATGCTATTTGATAGAAGGGACTTGGATCAACCAATCCCCACAGGTGCAGGTGCAGTATAGCTGGAGATTCGTTTTCAAATCATAAGTCTGATCCCATTAAGCGGTCTTCCCTAAACTCATCCAGTGGCTTCCCACCAAAGCAGACAAACCCTGTTGTCTGTCCCCGACTACCTCTCCCTGGTCCCTTCCCCACCAGGATCATTATTCACTAAGTTTCTCCCACCTATGTGATGGAGCTGGCTCCCACCTGCGCATAAGGCACTAACAGACAAATATTCTGGAATTTTTGTAAGTAGAAATCAGCCAGGGTGAGAGTATACTACAACAGAGGAATCAGCAAGTGTTAAAAATCAGATTTTTGTTTTACCAAGGGCCAATTAGTCCTGTGTCCACCTTGTCTATTGTGCAGAAGATCTTTGCACATGCCTGTTTGTGATTTCCCACAAGTGATGGATAAGACTTGTCTGTCTTCCCTATGGAAAGGAAACCTCCCAGAACACAGGCACCAGGCCTGTCTTTGTTCGTTATCTCTGTTCTATCACCAGGAACAGTGCCTGGAAGTGGACATATGTGGAGATATGGGCACTTGACTTGGAGCCCTAAGCTTTGTTTCTGCAGCAGAAGCTACTTTTGCCTGTGTGCCTCCCTTTTTTCCTGTGCATTTCCCAGCCTCCCTTGTGGCATGCTTCTTCTGTAACCAAATCCCGGTCCATGCAATGAGATTCTAGTCATGACCTCTAAAATGCCTCACGTGGTCTTCAATGCACTTTCTCTCCTCCCCTGAAGGCTGGAAAAGGGAAAGAAAGCCCAGCTCCCTGAGGCATTGATTGGAGTGGATCTATCCAGGTGAGTTAACCTGAGACTCTCTGAGCTCAGTAGGAGGAAGAGGCATCTTTATTGAGAGAATCCCTGAAATTCTGAGCTTCTGCTTTGCTCTTTTCCCAAACTCCTACTTGACTGCCATTGACTCCAAACTTCAGGGCAAGCCACAGTGTCTTGGACCCCAATTTCACAAGATGCTCCCTGAAATCCTTCTAGGATCAAAACCCACCTGCTCTGCTTGTTTGGTTGTGTTACTCCTGCCTAGCATTGTCTGTAGACACCACAGCCGTTTACTTCCTTAGAGACTCATCCACACAGTCATGGGCCCCGTGATGACAAACCACCTACACAGTGGTGGTCCTGAGAGCTTTTCTTTTTAAAAGGTCTGAAAAGATTTTCCTGCTGGTCGATGACTTTGTAAACCACTACAGCATCACAGTGCAAGGTTAGCAAGTTATTTGTGTTGACGTTACCTTACACATCTGCCAGTTGCATGAAACCATGGTGCTTAGCACGATATTCGAGTTCCCAGCTGGTTCATTTATTTAGTAAAAGGCAGTCTGAAGATCAACCGGAGTATGGCTTATGTATTTATAGAGCTATACTTTTTTACTGGCTTTTGTTTTTACTATGTTACCCCTTTTGTGGTTATTCAAAAGTGTGCTGTCTCTATCTGTATCAAAAGGTTGGCTGTCAGAAGGGTGTAGGTTACACCATTATAACCTCCTGCCTCTCACAGTTACCTGGTTTCTTGATTCCCTCTAGAGGGTCTGTGTGAAGCTGGCCACCCCTCCCATGCTATTCTGCATCTGGGTACTCTGTGATGGTCACGTAACACGGACACACATCCCAGCACGTCTTCATTATTAAGCCGCGCACGACTGTGTGGAATTTAAAACTTCCACGGAAAGCATTTTTAATATCTTAGCCACTCCAAGTGATTCCTTTGAATATTTAAGCACTCAAAAGGTACAATGTCAATCAAAACGGCAGCTCATCAAGAGCCTGGGGAGTCTGCAGGAATCCGTCCCCCCTCTCTCACCCCACATCTTGCACCACTTGCCCTCAGCATGCCAGCAGCCTCAACCTGCCCCATGATTTGCATGCTGCATCCTCAGACGGTTCTGCTTGGGTGACTCTGTGAATCACCTTTTTTTTTTTTTTAATAGACGTGACCTGGTTTTCCCACAGGCATCCAGCAATGCCTTTTCTTAGTTGTTATGGAGGCTGCCTGGTGAACCAACCTCAGCCCAGAGTCCTGCTCATTTCATTGGTTTCTCTTCCTGGCTCTCCCATAGGGATATTATGTGTGGGATAGGTCAAGGGCTGAGGTCTCTCTTCCTGTTGTAAATGAAGGCCACTGCCGTGGCTCTCATCCTAGTAACCATGGTAACCACACACCACATGACAGGTGTCTGATTCTCATCAGACCTTTTCAGATAGGAAGAGTTTTTTGTCCTTCCTGCCACCCCGACCCTGGATCCTACTCAGCGTGGGGGCATCCAGGATCACCAGGGAAACAACTCAGGCCCAGAAGATCTGGAGCTGCAGCTTTAATTAAATCTCCAGTTTCCCCAGAACATTCTGTATTGCCAAGCCTGGGAGTCAAGGAAGTCTCCCAGGAAAGCTTTTATAAGAAAGATCTGAGGCACTTCTGCTCCACAGCTGGCAGCAAATGGGGCTCAGTAGGAAAATATGCCTGGCATACAGTGGACACACAATTAATACCTTTAGACAAGTTCATTTAATAAAATGGAGCTTATACAATAAACGAGATCCCTCCCAAGCCTGAGGAATGCCTGCATGGGATGGCCATGTGAACCATGCCACGGTTATTGAGTGCCTGCTGTATGCACCTGCGAGAGATTCCACAGAGGCCCTGAAGTCAGCTTGCTGACTGAATCCCAGCTCCCTGGGTGGCTGGAGGGCATGTGGGGATTATGTGGGGAGAGAAGTGTGGAGGGGCTTGGAGGGACCACCTCACAGAGGGCTGGAGCCCCTGGCCCTTTGAATTTATTCCTGGAGAAACTTTGATGGAAGCTGGTTGGCATGTGGCTGACAGGATCCGCTTTGCATTTCAGAATCACATCTCTGATGCCCTTAAGAGAAGAAATTAGGGGGAAACTATTGCTTTGACCAAAGACATGATGTTCTAGAACTTCTGGACCTAGGACTGACTATGTTGTGTCCTTCCTCTTGGAATCTGGTCAGCAAGAGTGGAGAGACGCTGCAGCCTGTGAGGGAGACCATGTGGAGGACCAAAGTGCACCTGCTGATGGTCCAGGTGTGTTCCCAGAAGTAGTCAGCCCTGACCACTAACCCTGTGAACTCCCAGCTGGTGCTAAGTAAATAAATAAATAAATCTCAGAAGACAGCACACGGAGCACCCAGGTGAAGCCAGTCAGTTCCCGTGGTCATGCTGTGCAGAGATCTAAGCTGTGAGTTTTACGTAGGGATCCGAAAACCTGGGCATTTGACACCAGGCTGTGGTCACTTCTAGTCCTGCTGGGAGGCCATGGACTTGGGATTCTATGAGCAATTTCACAGGAATTTGAAAGCCCAGTTGTGGGTAAACTCCGCACACCCCTTCTCACACATGTGTGCAGCACACCTACTGTCAGTTGGGGGTGAGCAAATGTTGACCGAATTTAATCGAAACGCTGCACACAATGAAAAGCATCGTGGAGGCTGGGGAATCACCATTTGCTTCATCTAAGAGAGCCTTCCTGGTGCCTGGGGTTTTCAGTGTCCTCTCCCTCTAAGCGTACTCCTTTCATTCCTCCTCACTTCCATCCACCCCCCTGTTCAGGAAGGGTAGTCGCAGCTACTGCAGGTGACCCTCGAGGTGCTGCTGCAGAATGAAGTTCTTCTTTTGAAAACAGACTCAAAATCTGAGCTACAAACTTGACCTCGAGGGCAGGAGGATGATTTTTTTCTAGCTACTCTCAGATCAGATCAGCCTTAGCGTCTTGGTGTTTATTCAGGGAGAACAAATGGCAAACGATAAGGTGCGGGAGATGAGCCCCTGGGCAGGCTGCAGACGCGCACAGAAACCACTGTGGTCATCTTCACTGGGCCAGCGGAGGCCCCCGCCACTGAGGGCTCCATCTGCTAGTCTTCTGTAGAAGATACACCACCCAGCTTACCGAGATGGCAATCTTCAGCCTTGCCTGACTGCCGGACAAGCTCTCGGAGGTCTCACGTCCCTGGCCTCTGTGCGCAGCCCCCAGGAAGAGAGAGAGAGAGAGAGTAAGCCAAGGGTTAATAACCTGCCCGGGAGAAGGACCCGGTGTCTCAGGCCTGAGTCCCAGCCACTGTTTACCTGCTAAGGGAGTGTGTAACCACCGCGGGGGAGCCCCTACAGTCCGTGTGTGTGTGTGTGTGTGTGTGTGTGTGTGTGTGTGTGTGTGTGTGTGTGTGTGTGTGTGCCAAGCAAGGAGAACCGTCTGAGAGAGCCCTCAGATCCCTGGTGCACGGGTGGGGACGCTGGCCTTGTCACGTGCCGGCCGAGTGGGGGTTGCTGGGTGACAGCCACTGGGGCCAGCCACCTCCCTCCTCCTCTGACGTCCTCGCAGCCGTGCCCCCGCCTTCGCTCACTCCCCGCCCCTCGCCCGGATCCCGCGAGCTGCCTGGCGGCAGAGGCGGCGGGAGGCTGGCCCAACCGCGGCAGGTGCACGGCTGCCCGGACCGAGTCGCCGCGGGCAGCCGGCATCATGGTGCTGTCGGTGCCGGTGATCGCGCTGGGCGCCACGCTGGGCACTGCCACCAGCATCCTCGCGCTGTGCGGTGTCACCTGCCTGTGCAGACACCTGCACCCCAAGAAGGGACTGCTGTCACGGGACCAGGATCCTGACCCGGAGAAGGCAAAACCCGGTGTGCTCCAGCCAGTCCAACAGGTGAGCTACTGTACCTGCCATCGCCTGGGGGGTCTCGGGGCTACAGTGTTGGGGGAAGTGGAGATGTGGCTAGGGTCTCCTTTGCAAGACAGAGCTTCTCTGTCTCTCTCGGAGGAAAACCACGGACGTGCTTGAGGGATAGGGGAAGCCTGGTGGGGGCGGGGGAGATACGCTGGGAGATGGACAAGAAGGCTCATTGTGGGCTGGGGACATTGCAGGGCCTGCAAAAGAACTGGGGGCATCCACAGGGAGGGTTAACAGGGAAGGGATGGGAGGTGAACAGGAATAGAAGCTGGGAGGGAGACTGGGAAGGGGGACAGATAACCAAGCAAGTACTGAATGGGGCTTCAGGAAACCAGGGGTGGTGGCACTGGGCGAGGAATTGTGGAAAATGAGAAGCCTGCAGAAGTAAGGGGGACAAAAAGAAGACAGTGAGGGGGGGACAATTGGGGGGCTGATGCAGGATAAACTGTGCCACAGCTGAGAAGGAGGTGTCTCCTGGAACCGGGGCGGAGATGGCTGCTGTCCCCCATGGAAGCTGGGGAGTGGGGTATATGTGGGAGTGGCATTTGAACAGGGGACATTGAACATCTGGTCCCCTCCCCAACCCATGCAGCTCCCAGCTGCAGCCAGTCACAGTGGGCTGCTGAGGTCACCCCCAAAGGTCCCCGAAGCCGTCCCTGGACCCCAGAGAGCTTTTTACCTCTTCTGGTAGTATCTGCTATCCTCCAGAGCTCCCTGGGGGAGCCAGGGTGGTCACTCCCCCCTTTGCAGGGAGCAGCAGAAGGCTGGGGGGCTGCTGCCCCCCTGCATAAGCTAGGACCCCTGGGGTACATTCCCAAGGTGGGAGGGGTGCATATTGGGGTCTGGAACCTATGGGGAACAGCATTCTTGGCACCTGAAGGGGGAAGCAACCTATCTCCCTCCCTGCCCCAAGGGACAAGTTGAATGGCATCTTTAGGCCTCCGGATGCCTTCTGGCTCATGATGCCTCTTCCTCCTCCCCTCATCAATTATTCAAAAGCTCCTAGGACTGGGTACCTGGGGAGAGGAGGGAGGCAGAGGCTGTGTGCATGGCTGCTGTCTTTAAGCACCTTTAAGAAAAGTGACATTGACACAGGCTCGGCAGGAGCCAACTGGGCAGCAGGACGTAGGGCCGGGAACCATCTGGAAGTGGGAGGAGTGGGCTCGCTGCTGCGGCGGGGTTGGACGAGTGCTTCTCCGGAAGCCAGGGCCAGTTGCCTCCTCCTTCCTCAGTGCACCTGAGGACAGCTACTCTGCCTTCCACGGTGACTCTCCAGGTCCCTCCATCCCCTGAGAGAACCCCTGTCGTAAGTGACCCCTGGGCTATTTCCCAATTCTTGGTCTTACTGACAAACAGGAGCCCACCTCCCTGCTGGTGATCTGTGAAAGATCAACCAGGTTGCATCTCTCTCCTGCTTGCAATCCTCCATCATTGGCCACGGGAAGAAGCCCTAACAAACACTGATCTGGTCCATAATCTGTACCAGAGTTTGTCCTAAGAGCTTCATATTCATTGTGGCATTAACCAGCCAGGTGAAGGATCCAGAGGCGTATTCAACATCAAGATGAGGAGACCAAAGCCCAGCGAGGCTAACTCGCTCAAGTCCACACAGCTGGAGAAGTCTGTGCACCTTTCACTGAGCTGGTTGGATTCTCTATCTGTGCCCTCACTAAGTTCCTTCCTGCCACTAACACCTGCTCCATCTGGCTGGTGTCTGCTCTGCAGCCAAGTTCATGTCCTCATCCCTACACTCTCTCCTCCCCTGATTTGTGATCATTCTTAAAAGATGCCACACAACCTTTTTTCTTGCTCCCCTTCTGGATCTTGCCTTTTCTCACAGACGGCTCTTTCTTGCCCTTTAGATCTCTTTGTTGAAACATCAGGGAAGATTTTGCCTCCTGCACAGGAAATAAGTCCACGCCCCATTCAGCCAGTGCTTCCTCCCGCATGGCTCTTTTCAAACTCTTACAGCACTTGTTACAAATAGATGTGATTCTGTACAGCCACTTGGATGGATCCCTAGTGCCTGGTCAGTATCAAGTCACTGCCAGGTGCCCAGTGAAATTGATGGACAAGGACCCCGTAATCCAGCCAGTTGGGTTATTGTCTAAGATTTTTCTGCAGATGTGGGTGCGTGCACTGTGTGTGTCTTTTCAAGCCAGGCATATGCTTGGGAGGAGACCATGTTGATACATGGCACCTAGCCATTCACAAGCCCTTGCTAGGTTCCCATGGGTTGGGGGAGGCATAGGATCTTGGACATGGTGGGGCGCGCTGAGGGTGCAGGGGTGAATGTGGGGAGGCTGGGTCCTTTCATTGCCCTAGCTGTCCTCGTGTTTAGAGGCGTTTGGCTGCTGACTCAGAGAAAGTCAACAGAGCAAGGGCAACATTACTGACATTTCAGAAGGAGGAAAGGACGTGATGTTCTCGGTGGCAGATGACAGCAGGAGGGCATGTGCGGCACAGGTTGGCCAGAAGAACAACAGTTAGAGAGCTTGCTGAAGATGCCCCCTAAATAGAGAGGGCACAGGAAAGGAGAAGAAGGGTCCAGCTCTCTACAGAATCCCGAAGAGGTTTCCGAGGCTCATGGCATCCCACTGAGAACTGACTGGCACATGGCTTGGACAGTCCTGGCCTGGGCCTGGTTAAGATGGTTGAAAAAATCCCTTGGGTTCATAGACTGTACTTGGGGATCTGATGAATGAAGTTGAAGTTCCCAGTGAGAGAGTTTTAAGAGCTTTATGGTCCTGGGTAAGGAAATAGTCTAGCTTTGCTTTTACCAACCTCTAACTAAAGCTTATCATTTCTTGTAGCATTTCCCACACCCGTAGTTCTGTTTCCCAGAGGAAGCCCGGGTCGTTTCCTCGTACCCCACGGCCGCTGCACTCTGCAATCACATTTGCACGCATCTCTCGTTCTGAATGATGAGTTGTTTATGAGGTTGGCTGCTAGATCCCGTTACTTAATGAACAAAGAAAGCAGCACACACACACACACACACACACACACACACACACACACACACACACACATCCCTAGGTGTTTTTATAAATTCAGTTCAGTCAACTGCTCCTTGGCACTCTCTTGTCTTGTATTTCCTCCTGCTTTGCACACTCTGGGGGAAGTATCCCTAGACTTTTGGGAAGCTAAGGGAGTCCCAGAACAACAAGGTCAAGGGTCCTTGCCAAGTGAGAACTGGCAGAGGATGGAAGCTCTTGTCACCTACCCTCTTTTGCGCCCCCAGCCAGCTTCCACACCCACTCCCCCTGGGCTTTTCTAGCCCCTTCTTTCTCCAGCTCCCAGGCACTTAGCCTTCCTAAACCCACCACTCCTGCTCTGCCAGGATCTGCTGGGAACCCCATTTTGGCCAGCCCAGCCCTGAGCTCTGTTATCACCCAGTGACCTGGAAGCAGAGCCAGGAGGTAGAGTAGGGAGGGTAACGGTGTACACACACTGTTCCTGTGCAGCAGCCAGACAGATGGGTTCCTCACCTCCTGAATGTTCTTTTCATGCCTGGCAGCACAGGTGCTCCCCAGTCCTTCCTGGGTTCTTCTAGAACAGATTTCTTTTTGCCCAGCCCAGAGAACAGTTGAGTTAGCAGTGACCCCAGGGCTCAGTGCCTCTCTCACTCAGCACTTAGCGGGAGACCACCCTGCTTTCCCAGAACTTCCGTTTTGAGCATCCTCTTGTTCTCCTTAAAGACCCCAGTGCTGTCCCTTCAAACTAACCTGTGGTCTGAGCCTTTCGAGTAAAACTACTCAGACCTCAGCAGTGGTGCCCAGGTCCCCACCCCCCCACCCCCCACCCCCGTCCCTCTGCCTCCTACCATACAGCACTGCCATGTTAGAAAACCCCATTCTCCTTCCAGAGATGTTGGGAGTCCCAATGCTGTGTTTGATGGAACCCTGGTAGAATGAGTTCCAGCTGCTATGAAATCGTGTAAGTGCTGTGTGTCAACACTCAGATGCATGGTGGAATATTTTCTCTCCCAAGGTCAGTAGTAGGCTGTCCGTTTTCTTTGGGCCCCTGACAATGTCTGATTGTGCTGGGCACCACGTGAGAGTGCTCTAGTGTTTATTTTGAGTTAGTCATCTGGTACCTAACACAAAATATGAGATGCAGGGAAGCTGTGAATCCATGCACAGAAGCCTGAAGCCAAGTCCAATTTATAGAAGCTGCTGCTCTGGGTTGGGGGTGAGGTAAAACAGGGAATGATTGGGAGTGTGAAAGGGGCAGCTTGGCTTCTGTTCCTGCCCACGTAGGTGCTGCTTGTACGTGTGTGTGTGTATGTGTGTGCTGGCTTTACAAAATTGCATCCAGCTCCACATTTATGACTGGTTTACTTTCCTGTTTATAACCATTCAACCAGTAAGGTTCTTATTAAAATGTGTCATTTTGTAATATTAGGTTTGTTTTCATTACTGGGAGAACCAGGAACTATGGTTGTCCTTGCTGTGGCCTGTGATGAGCCACTTGGCTAACTACCTGCTTCCTGCTCTGGTCCTGTGGCTGCTTCCTTCTTGCCCTTTTGGGTCGGGGCCTCCACACCATCAGTAGTGCCCTATTAACCCTCCTGCTGGCTTCCTCTTCCTTAGACCTCCAGCACCACACCCTGTGCCCTCTGAGATGGATTATCTTCATCTGCACCTGTAGGTGTGAGGGTGGACCAGGGATACAGGTATCATATTTCACCAGCTAATGGATTTATGCATCTAAGGTTCAGGAGCACGTGTTGGGCACACTGATACAGCAGTGGAATAGACAGACATATGCCCTTGATGAGGGAGGAGACAATAAAACTGGTCCCCCTCAGAAGTGCAGAGATAGACCCTCCGGGAGGCTTGGGACAGCTTGGGAGGGCATTCCTGCCTTCACCCCAAAATAGATCTTTCTCCAATTGAAGCTAGCCGGTCTTCTGCATTCTCCCCTGCAGCCCACTGACCACATGAGGGCTCCCAGTGTTTGACCCCACTCCT